TGTTTGTTTGTTTTGATTGAGTTTTACGTCACACCGACACGGTATAGGTCATTTGGCGAAGTTCCAGATTTACTGGTGGAGGAAGACCTCAGGTGCCCTTCCGTGAATTATTTCAGGCACAAATGGGCACCTGAGTGGAACCAACGACGTTCTGTAAGCTAGCTGGATAGCTTCCTCACATGAAATAATCCAAAGTCCCTGTCGTGATTCGAACCCACAGCGGTGAGGGGCAAGTGGTTAGCAAACATGTACAAAACAAATCAATCTCTTAGAAATATTCATGTATTTATAATGAAAAGCAGATTTTAAGATGATGTTCAAATCCACAAAAATAATTCATAAATTTCTTGTAGTTTTTTCTTACTTTCCACTCCTCAAAGTCCCAGTTGTGAAGAACTCTAGCGGGAATCAACATATTATCATTCCAGTGGCATAGTTCACAATAATAGTTTCCTGAGTAATCACATAACCGTGGCTCGCTAAACCCAGATTCTGAAATTATACGGCATACATGTACATGAATTTAGTACAAAGTTCATACAAAAATTACCCAAATATAGAAGTAAATAGTAAACGGCTAGTCTTTATACATGTAGTATGTAAAGATGAAATAATTTGTATACAAATGCCATGAGTTTCAGTAAACAAACACCAGATACAACAAGAGCTACTGGTAGGACAGTGTGCTTGGCAAAATCTAAGGTAGAGTTTTATGCTTTGAATAGTGACCTCCTTTTATGCCCTCAAATAAGTGTGTAATTGTAAAGTTATAACTCATTCTGTTCAGTAGTTTTGGAGATACCAACTTGCATGCAAAGTGTGACACCAACGCCTTATGCCTTTGACGAGTACAATGGCTTAGAAAAGTGGAGCTAGAAATTATATTACCAATACAGTGCTCTGTACTATATATTTGTACTGTATACAATTAAATTAAAGGCCATCTCTTGAAAAAGGAGCTAGTCATTTTGTGAGACATAATTCTGAATGTACCATCACTAATAAGACGCCAACTTTATATGACAGAATAAGAATGGCATTGACAAATTTATTTCATTATTAATGAATAATGTAAGAGTAACACCTCAAGCTCAGAGCTAAACCAGTATTCAGAAGTTAACTGTATTGATAAAAACATCAGTTTATATGTGTATATAATACATACATTGTATATAGATAAAGTGATTTATCTCCCAACTTTTATATTCTAATAGATTGCAGATGTTGTGTAGGATTTCTCTGCAAAGTTTTGATGAAGTTCATGATTTATTCAATGATATAATTACAGTGAAAATGAGGATGGAAAGATTTTCTGTCACTAATTTGTCTGGAGCAGACAAAACGATTTCAATATTCTATAACATGTTTTCTTCTATGTCTAAAAGGTTAATTGTGTATATTTTCATTAGCATTAAAACATTGAACTTTCTTCTTACATACATTTTATTACTGCTTGTAACGTTTGGGGTTCAGGCCAGCGGCACCGATGAAAGATTTTCTATTATTTTAAGGCAGTTGTGCAAAAATTTAAAGGCCCAAAAGCCCCCCCCAAAATGATATTATTTTGTTATTTTTCTCAATTCTAAAACCTTCTGAAAAAGAACTTATTAAGTGGGCCATCTCTTGCTTCTTTTGCTTTTTTTCGGGAATTAATACAGTCATATATGTAGTGATTTAGTATCTTGTATGGAAGTTAAAATACCACTTTCTTTACATTTTGCTTTTTTTTATGACAAATAAATTCACATTCAGCACAACCTAATTCTAATAAAATAAGCATCTAATATAATAAAATCTTTTTTCAAAACATTATCAAGGTCATAATATTATCTGCCCTTTGTAATGAAGAAAAAAAACAAATCATTTCTGTGGCATAATAAGTGTGCTTATTACAATATTTCTGATTGTTCCTATCTTTTAAAGCTAAACTCAAATTTATTATATCCATAAAATGTTTACTCTTATTTCTTATATTCTTTTATTGTTTCTCCAAAATAAACTCTCAATTAACATACTGTATTTTGTAAATGAAGGAAACGATTTTCAGTCACAATGTGGAGCTTGAACATATTGATATCATGAAATTCTACTTTTCAAAGATCTACCATTTATTTCTTTATAAAATTTTAGGCATTTAAAGGCCAATGAAGTCTCAAAATTGGTATATTTTTTTTTCCAAAACCTTTTTTTTTGGTGTTCTGTTATAGAAAATTACTCATTACACATTGCTGAGCCATCTTTTGCACTTTTGCTCTTATTAAGAAGTTATAGCTATTTAGTATTTTGTATGGAAGTCAAAATACTTCTTTGTTAACATTTTGCTACCTTGTGACAAATTATTTCACATTCAGCACCACTTTCATCAGATGACAAGAATCTCACATGCTTTTATTTTCTTATCCCTTATTACAGCACTATAAAACACTTTTTACCATTTTCTACACAGTGAAAAATTTATTCATTTCTTAGGCTTAATGTGCCTTTAATGTATTCTACTTTTATCCTTTATAAGCCTCTTTACTAATTTACATGTTATAAGAATGCTACTGTCAATGGAAATCAACAGGGGTCAAATTCCTGACCTCTATATTGACAGTATAGGCAGGCTTGGTTTGATACACATGCTTTCTCAGTTTCACCATAATATAATAATTATATGCTTTCACCATATATTCTAGACACAGACCTGTCAATCAAAGAAATTAATAGATTTAATAACTACATACTTATTAGAAACAAAAATATTTTCTCAACTATGTTAGACACACCAATCTCAGAATCATCCGACCTTTTGTCAAGTTTAAGTTTCAACTTATATTACAAAACTGTCAAAGTATTACAGAAATGTAAGAAAATTAACAATATTTATTAAATAAACATCCATCTCTTTATCAGTTTTTTTTTAAAGTCAGACATGTAAAATACTCTTACATTTTTCTTAACAATAAACTGTCATAGAGTATTTCTTATGGAGGAAAAATAAATACAGTAATTGCCTGTATTAGGTTTTACACTGTTTGCCAAAAAAAAGTCTTGATGATTTTCAAGCAAATAAAGTTATATTTGGCAGTCTGTAATTGGCAGTCTGTAATTGATATTTGAACATTGCATTACATATCTTAGGAGGTGTCCATGGCTGAGTGGTAGAGGATGTTACAGATGTTGACCTAAAACAACTTTCCACCCACCACCTTGGCTTTAAATCCATTCTAGCTTACAGAACATTGGAGGTTCTGTTCCTCATTATCATAATTATTTCTTTAAATATGATGATGGATTCAGATTTGTCGTTTCCTAAATCCACCTTTAAATTCATCAAACATATTTTAATTTCAGGTGCTAATTTTAAACTGATTAAATGAACCTTTATCTATTTAACAATATCCACAAGTATAGAGGATGAGAGCTTTTTTATAATGCAAAGATTCTATAGATGAGCAAAAGTGCTATAATATAATGATGTAATATGACCATCTGGAAAAAAAGTAAGATCCCTCATGAGCAATGAAAACAATCATAGTAAAAAGATGAAAATAGCAGACTTGGTTTGATTACGTCTATTCATGAGAGATAATAACAGGGGCTTTATATCTCACAGCCCCTAGCTTAAAGCAGCATGCCTTCAGATTCATGCTAGTTTTCATGAAAATTTTAAAAATGTATTTTAAGTAAAATATTGTGAAGTGAACAAAGAAAGTAATTTACACATTGCAAACGGCACTTTCAATTCACGTAAATTACCTAAAGGAAGTCCAAATATACATAAATACCTCTTACTGCATAAGAAATGCAGTAGCATTATAGTGATTGATACTGCAAAATCAGTCATTAATCACATATACTGTAAAATCATAATTATTCGTGGGGCACGAATTTTCGTGGTTTTCGTGGGTAGGTCAATCCACGAATTTAAGATCCCACGAAATTTTATCCCAACAATTACTTCTAATCATGTCTCTATTCTATGCATGCATTGCTGCTTTTCCGTCAATTAGTGTGTTATGATGGTATACAGATAACTAGGTTAGTGACAGATTAAATCTATAAATAGTTAAGGTTTGCAATATTTAAGAAATTTGAAAGCAAAGTCGAGCTGCATATCATGTCATCTAGATGTGTTAATTGCAGTCAATTATCGGCAGTAACTGCTATCTTTATGTTATGCCTACAGGCAAGGATTAGATTATTGACAAGCGCTGTGTGATATCACGCTGTAAGTAAAAATGCGCGACGGTTAATTTAAAGATTACTTTTCATTAGGGTTTTTTTTTTTTTTTACAAGAAAAATGAAAATTCACGAATTTAAGAACCCACGAAAATGCCCGTTTTGATAAAACCACGAAATTTCATGCCCACGAATATAAGTGAATTCGCAGTAACATGTAAATAGTTCAATTAAATATTGAATATTTTTACTTTTCTTAAGATCTTAATACATTTTTCTAAAGATTGAATTTCTTGAAATATTTTGGCTCATCTGGAGGCGTGCAGCATTAAACATGTTTCAAAAGAGTAAAACAAGATATGAAAGTCTTTAGTAATTTATATATACAAAACATAAAGGGCATCACACAAAAATTACACTGGAAATAAGACATAAATACAAGAAATAGTGTAAATGAACATAAAGACACAGAGAGAAAGCAAGTAAAGAAAATAAACATCACAATACATAGGTGAGGATACAAACAAACAAAAGAGAACAAGATGCGTCACTAAAGATAATATATGTCCTTGAAAGTTATGCTTGACAATACTGAATAGAATTTGATTGACAAAGTTTTCACCCAAAGAGAATAAATAAAACTCAATTGTTTACCTCTGAGCTACAAATATTGGTTATTTAAATGACAAATAATCTTATGTCAGAGAACTTCTGTGTGCCAGGTAATTTAAAAATCGTACATGGTATGAAAATGTTAGGGTCTAAACACAAAACGTTATAGACTTGGTCTTTGACCCTTATGTGTGACCTTAACCTTTCACCTATGAACCTGGATCTTATTTTATTATGCTAAATATTATATATATGAATAGGTATTTAAAGAAATTCAATTAGAAAATAACAGACAGACAGATGGATCAGGCTATTCCTATTGCCCTCATTCAGGGGCCTTAAAAGGTCATGCATTATACATATATTAACAGGATAACATTAACAATGTTACTACAAGTAGTATTTCAGAAAACAAAAACTTACTAAATGATATAGACCCTCTACATTCGGCACATCTATAGTTCTGTGATGACAATCCTCTTTCTAGACATATATCAAGGCAATATGTTGGGTCTTCTTGGACTTTAACAGAGGCACATGTTCTAGTTATCTGATTAAGGCACTTCTCATGGGAACAGTATCCACATTCTGGAGAAAGAAACAATATTTACATTCATTCAAAGATGGTACATAAGCTGTATAAACCTATTTTTTATATTTTTGTGTGTATATTTTCAGTGAAAATACATTTTGCATGTATATTTGCCAATTAGTTAATTATGTGCTAACTATAGCAATTAACTCATAACCTAATGGATTTACGAAATGAATATGCACAGCTTTGAATTTGGATCAGTCCATAAAGCCCATACAAAGTTTGGATCAGTCCATCCAAAGCATAAGGGTTTTCAATATTCAATAACAAAGACTGGGCTGCCAGCAATGTAGAGCTAAGTCAGACTGCATAGATGTATCAAAGGCTCATTGCATTTGGTTACATCAGGTAAAGTAATTGTAGTGTTATTTATCAAATATGTAATATTTTTTATTATTGTATATTTTCGGAATGCTGACACTGTTAAGGTCAAAAGGCAACTTTCCAGCTTTACTAGGGGGAGCATGACACCTTAAATGTCCATTGTACCTTTCTGCTCTGGCCTAAGCTTGCAAATGGACACCACCACAGACTGTCAATAAGGTAGCTTGATACCTTCCTCACATAAAATAAGCAATTCTTAATTAAAAAGCCTTAACATCAGACTTACATCAAAAGTTTACTTTTATTAAGTGAAAAGAAACACATGGCATTAAATTTTCTAAATGTTGAAGCATTTGTTGAAAATACCAATCAATTCATTAATTCAAATATTTGAAAATACTGTGCATTCTTGCGACACCTGTATACAAAGCAAATATATTTTGTACAATAACTTAAGTGTAGATTTTACTTAAAGGCACATTATGCCTCAGAAAGCATACATTTTCTAATTCTTTATAAAAGTCAAGCATATGTTTAATAATGTTTAATAATGATTTGATGATATCTTAGATGTTGAGAAACCGAAGAAAGTAGCGCTGAACATACAGTAATGTGTTGTAAAAGTAGCAAAAATATAAACAAAGTAGTATTTTGACTTAAATACAAAATACTAATTCACTATAATTATACCAATTGCCATTAAAGTAAAAGAAGCCTAAGAGAGTCCATGAATATGGCTAAATACAATAAAATAAATAATTTTTGAGAAATAAAATAGATAGCATTTCTGTGGGATAATGGGTCTTTAACAAGATATTACAATGATAAAAAATCTCACCTGTACATTTATACCACTGTTGTAAAACTCCCCAGATGACACCATTACATTTCTCACAATAATGTTTGGACCCAGTTCCAGAATGAAGAACAAACTTGTGACCTACAGCTAATTTTACACCCTCCTCAACAGGCTCTGGTCCTTCCTATAAAATATTGAAGGTTATTATTATAAAACATCAATATGTACAAAAAAAGAAGTCTAATATAATATAAACATATCGTACAAAAAGACGACTTTTTTCGGATAATTTGTAAAAGGCATGAGCAATCAACCCAATTGTTTAGTGTCAACTGTGGCTAAGATTTTTTACATTTGAATGACAATAATTTGTTGCTTCAAAGTACTCCAACTAATTAGGCATGTTCTTTGTTGGATTATAAGGTCATACATAAAGTTTTCCAGCTTTTCTAGTGGGGAAAGACCTAAGCAGCCCTTTTTTGCATTATTTCAGGCAAGAGCGGGTATCTGAGTAGAACCACCGATGTTCCTTACAAGCTAGCTGTATAGCTTCCTTACACAAAAGAATCAATTAAATCCATAGCAGTTAAAGGCAAGTGACTTGAAGTTGGCAACCTTAAGCACTAGGCCATGGAGGCCCTTTAGGAAATAAAGGACATGGATGTCACCATAAAAGTCAGTTTAGGGACAGACAGAATGACAACAGGACAGCGTGACAAACATACATTGTCACCTATATTCCTTTTCTAAGTAGTGGGGGCATAAGAAACAATCTGTAAAATGGGTCAACTATGCAAGCAATATTATTAGGCTAGGTGCTTGGGGAAAAGTTATGCCTGAAATAACGAGCAAAGAGCTTTTTGATTTTAATCTATCTTAGCAAATTAATGTAGTGAAGAATGAATAACAGTTAAATTAAAAACATTGCAAAATTTGAAAAACAGGTCCCAAATGTGATGCAAAACTTGTCATTTTAATAACAATATTCTTATTTGATTTTATTTAAAGTAATTATTTGCATTATTAATTTAAAGGGGAAATAAGAAAAGTAAAACAGTATTTTTACCTGTTCCAAAAAAACTTACTTTAAACAAACAAAACCTTTTAAAATTTTTGAATTTTATTCAAGCTAAACCAGTTTTTGAAAAGTTTTTCTGTTTATCAAAAATGGGGCGGGGGCTGTAATGTTAACTTTTTACAGGTCTCTATTGCCATTTCTAACTCCTCAGTACTGCTCATGCCAAAAAATCCCTACACAATAAAGCAATTAGAAAGAAAAGATGATATGATTAAACATACATGATCTACTAAATTCAACATTTATAGACTAAATTATTTAAGTGTTTTTAACATAAAACTTAGTTTGTTTTTCTGGTTTAACGCCGATTTTATAAATAGTTTTTTTTTGTTTGTTTGATTGGGTTTTACGTCACACTGACAAAGTATAGGTCAAATGGTGACGTTCTAGCCTTACTGGTGGAGGAACCGCTCAGGTGCCCTTCTGTGCATTATTTCAGGTATGAACAGGCACCTGAGTAGAACCACCGACGTTCCGTAAGCTATTCAAACATAGCGACTGTAGATCCATCAAATGAATAGAAAATGAATTATATTTTATTGTTTGTATGTATTTGCACCTGCATGTACTGATTATAACAGTATGTCTGTTAATGGCAAGCAGTTATCAAGCAAATATTTATAGTTTTGATGAAAGCCAGTCTTAGTGTTATTGCCAGGGTTTTCAGACAATGGAACAAAGACTTGCTTATACTGGTAACATACAACATGTAGGCAAATCATTAACAATCAGAGTTAAAGAGAAGTAACTGACCTCTGGTTGTGAATAATGATCCTCTGAAAGACCTAGATCAGCAAATGTTATATCATCACTGGTGTTTGAATCTGGTACACTAGGGTCTGTCCATGTTGAACTGGCATTTGAATCTGTAGAATCATAGACAAAACATTGCAATATGTTCATTCAGTGCTCTAAACAAACAAGAGTTGTCCGATGAGCAGTGCTGGATAAATAGTAAACTTCATATTTTCTAAGTAAAGAAATAATGTGAACCTGAAGGTCACAATGACATTGACATCAAGGTGGTACATTTGCATACAACGTTTAAAGAGTCTAGGTCAATGCACTTTGAATCATAAGTGATCCCAGTGCTTTGATAAAAAAAAATGGTGTGGCAGTGAAAACTCATCCAAAGTCATCCAAACACAAAGAAGTTCAAAGGTCAATTGATGCACTTCGACTTAAGTCTTTGACCTTTTGACCTGAAAAAGTATGTGATAGGTAGAACTAATTGAATAACTAATGTCACAAAGTGTTAACACTCACATATTCATTTTTTGTTTATCTGACCTTGGACCTCTGTATATGACTTAAACTTTAGTGTGACCAGACCTTGAACTTTGCATTTCATGCAGAGATCTGTTTTATGTGCCAGATTTTACTTTTCAATGTGGTGAATATTAGTATTAAGTCTTACTTAAATCCTTAGATGCCTAAAGAAGATATGCTCTGGACAAAACTAAACTGGCCCAACTGCCAAGGACAAACCCAAAATATTAAGAAGAAAAATCTAACGGTTACATAAAAAGAATCAGATTATTGTACTTACCAGATTTTATTCTACTAGACCTAGGCCTGCTTAGCAGTCGGTCATTTGTTTCCTTGACCTCAAAATGGTCCTCATCTATGTGTAAATCTCTGTCAAACGGATTAAACCTGGACTCTTTATAACTAGATGGTGTATCAGGGTAGTCACTAGATTGCATAGAGTCCACAGAGTCATGTCTGCCATTTGACACAGCACTCACATTATTTATTTTCTCTGAACTTAAATTGCCATTAATAGTAACAACAGACGATGTCACTGACGATGACTTAGATTTAACTGTGACCATAGAAGAGCTTCTTGAATCAGCTGACAATTTATTTGTCTTTGCACTAGGTAAATCAGATGTGGTTTCGTCTTCGGACTCCGAAGAATCATATAAATTCTGTCCCTGTTTTATCACACCTGACATTTTTACCGAAGCCACATTAGTATCTGAATGAATCATCTTCATGTCGGAATTCTTTTGCTTCACATGCTTTGAGGTTTGTAAAACCTTCCCTTTCTCTGGTAGACCTGATTTTGTCTCCATGTTAGCAATGATAAAGTCCTCATCCTCGCTACTGTATATCTCGTCTGACAATTCTAACGAAGACATTGTTTATCATATTTTGGGTCACATTTACTATGCTTTATCTTAACTAGATAGAACTTGCCATAATAGCTGAAGCACATTTCACATTTAACTGAAACCTGAAAAAAAATAAACAATAAGATTTAAACTTAGAAGTTGTTCAACTTGAGAATGGCTCCTCATCCAAAACAATGATTACTATAGATAATGATAAATCAAAGCACATACTAAGTAATAAACTGTTTTAATATAATTAATATGAAATTAGGCAAAGCCTATGAACGGGGAAGTCGTTAAAAAATCCTTTCATTCTTTCCGTTTTAAAGGTGTCATTAGATATTACATACATAGACGCTTCCGTTTTCACTCGGAACACTCGGCAATTATTACTAATCCAAAAAATTGAGATTTGTTCCGTTATCGGAATACCCCGCCTATTATCATTGACATACATTGTAAATGGCGGCGCACGACTAGAACTGACACTGAAAATTTCATTGATAGGTATAGAATTCTATATATTTTTTTATTGTTTTTTATTTGATTTTCTTTTAAATATTCAGGCCATCCTTAAAAAAATGTTTGTTTGCAGTAACCCGACCCAGAATTTTCAAGGTGGGTAGGTAGGTCGATTTTTTTTTTTTTATTGAACTGTACTCCCAAATAAACATGGAATTTCAAAATGCTGGACAATATATGCTTTGATAATCTAGTAACAATTAATAAATTGAAAACTGAATTCTATCAACCTTTAAAAGAACGAAAAACAAAGTACAAGGCATAATTTTCTGATTCAAAAAAAATAATTTTTTATCCAGACCATGAAAAAAAAATTTGAGTAGGGGCAAATTTTGTGAGTCGGTCGCGTTACTGCAAACAAACATTTTTTTAAGGATGGCCCCACGTGTAGTCTATAGCCGGGCAAGCCAAAGCCCGGGCCCGGTTTGCGGGCCCGGTCTTTGACTTCCCCGTATAACATATTTATAATAATATTTAAATAAAAATATGATAAAGAAATATATAATTTTACATTTAATCATGATCTGCCCCTAACATACAGTCGCAGGGGCAAATAAAACCTTTGAACAAGCTGAATATCAGCCTCTTCCCCAAACAAACTTGCTTCTTTTTTACTCCAGTTTGCTCCTAAAATTACCCCTGTCAGCAGATGAAAATTCCCTCTAGAATTTAGAATCAAATTAAGCAATACACTGATAAACACTTTCCGAACAAGCAGACAGGCTATAAATAATAGTATTCTTAACAGTATTTTTTCGAGTAAAGATAACTGGTTGGGTATCTCACTGTATAAATCATATGTTAAATGGTGTGACAATTATGGTAGGTTTAATGTGTGAATATATACTGTGACAAAACTAAAATCCAAAGCCTTCCATTGGTGTAATAAATTTTAAAATTGAACATTAAACCACACAACAAACTAGTGATTTAAAAATGGTTTAATTTGTATTTTTTTAGCATAAAAGATATCAATTTTACTCAAAGACAAGGGAAATAACTCATATTTTTTCACTCAATATACATAGTTCATATCAAAAATGTTTTTGGGTGTATTGTGTACATGTACAAATTGTATATTCATTGATTGTATATATTTTTATTGTCCCGCTTGGCATGATACTAATATCTAACTAGGTAGTTGCATATTGGCTGCATGTTTTTCCTTTGCCTCAAAAGACATGAAGTAAAAATCTGATTTTGAGGTCAACATAACGATAACCTTAACATATTAATTAAAAGTATTTTGTTTCTCCAAATAATTTACTGGATTGACTTATTTATTGGAAATCCACATTTTTTGATAAAATTATTTCTTTTTCCTGGCAATGAAGAGGGCTTTTCCCAAATAATAGAAATTTGTGCTGAGGTTAATTTCCAAAAACAATGGTGTTTGGCCTTGGGTCTACCCTGTCCTGAATAAATGTCAGGACCTGTCGCACTGAATTAGTAACGATTCGCCACACTAACGATTCGCCACATAACGATTCGCCACAGAGTAATAACGATTCGCCACAGTTAAATAACGATTCGCCACAGTATGATTATAACGATGATTTTTTAGTAATCAACAAACTTTTTCCTTTTGTTTTAATAATTTGACAATGACAATAATTTAATAATGTTTCTTAATACAAGTAATATTTAGTTAAGGCCCCCATCGCGGATTTTTAATTTATCAAAGTAACATTATTACAGGAGTACATTAACAAGAAAGTAATTATATGTTGAAATAATTATTGAATTACTCATAAACATAATTATATGTCAATTAATATTTATATATAAATATATAGTTCATATATTATAATATATGTCAAATATTTAAACAAAGTATTGCAAAAACATGTGTTCATACGAAAATTGATTTACGATAATTGATTAAAGAACGCATATGTAAAACATTTGTCACACCTTTAATTTAAACAAGACAATCACCTTAGGATTGTTGTAGAAATATTTAATTGACGCCGAAATAATCCTTTAATTATCTGACAATGTATTCAGATTTCAAAAAAATGCGGCAATTAAGCTTATGTTTGTTTACAAATTAATTTGAGCGAGCCGATATATGCCGATTAAGAGGGTTTAAACAGCTTAAACACATACATAAAATAGTATACAAACGAAAAATAACGAAATCAGAATCATCTTTTAAGTTGAATTGATTTATGTCACATAAAACAGAAAGGCTGCCAAAAATGTTCTCGGCTAATATTCCATTGATTAGTAGTCTTTGAGACCACATTTATTTCGTAGACCATATGCATCTATGACATTTGAAATTTTATTTCCAGTACATTATTAAATGACATTAAAACAATAATATAAATAAATAAAGATAAAATACCCACATAAATTTGTAGACATTTTTTATCTATATTTATAATTTAGCCATTACAATTTAATACCTTCAAATTGATTCAATGTCTAGAAAAAGAAAGCTGTAGACGCAAACGGGATTAGTTAACTTTCAAATCCTTTAGAATGCTGGAAATTAAAATCTTTCAAGATTTTTTTTCATGAAATTCAAAAGATGGTCAAATTCAAATTCCTTCCAAAAGTTCGCAATAGTAATATTTATGTTGTAATGCGCTTTACACGTTCTGTTTGTATTCGGAAGAAGTTCTTCTAATTGTAGGTATGGCTATAACTTAAGTAGGCAATGAAAACATCTACTAGAAAAGACCTTAAAGGTAGTAGAAGGCATGACTTATCCATTTAAAAAATGTCATATTTAAAGACTGTCCGTGTACAAACCATTACAAACATAATGGCATTTAAATATATTCAGAAATTCAAAGACAAAATACAAGACAAACTAAATATACGTACACGTATATTTTTCCAGTTTATATAAATAACGAAGTTATAAAATGTGTTATGTAATTTTGTTAATAAAATATTTGGTTTTCGTGTGTTTTTATTCAATAAAATGTGTATTTAGTGTAATTAACTTATGTAATTAACAAATGAAATATAAAATGAAAAAACGTTTTCCATCAACAGTTTGAAAGATGTGGAAAAAAAAATGTATTTGAACACGTGGCGAATCGTTATTTAACTGTGGCGAATCGTTATTACTCTGTGTCGAATCGTTATGTGGCGAATCGTTAGTGTGGCGAATCGTTACATTACCGTCGCACTCACTGTCACTCGCAGCCTGCTCGGTCTCTAACTCATTACTGGCCGACAGACATACACATAACATGAATCATGACTTCATTTCAGTCAATCATTTAAACATTAAAAATTTACGATGCAAACAAGTCAAGTGTTTCGGGGGGTTTTTTTTGTTTTGTTTTTGTTTACTCCATGATAGTTTTTGATACACAAGTTTGTTTGTGGTGGCAAGACATTCGTCACTGGTCTTAAAAAGCTACCTTTCATCGGTATTGTCCGAACCACAATGACACTTACTTACAACATGAATAAAATCAATCTTTATTTCGGACTCAACCGTTTAAATAAAGACAAAATTATGTAGTTGTTTTGATTTCAAAGTTCACATATTTACACCGGAAGTACAGAATTTATCAATGATAGGTGTATCTAAAATCCGTTTGGAAAAGATCGAACCGTAAATTAACCGGAATTCACCCCTCTTAATGCATCTTGCTTACTTCTACATAACATTATGGTGTTCGGCGTTAAAGTGTATTTATTGCGCCTGTTTTCTTTATTGTGAACTTTTTATTTCATTTGAATGAGAACATATTTTCTTATTTCGTTCGAGATTAAACGTCTCTTTTAATATTTCTGGAGAGCATTAACTCACATGAGAAGATCTTTTGGCATTTGAAAATTTGGATATTTTGCCATACATAATTATCCAGGCATGCGTTTATTTTCCCACTGAATTTATTCTGATTATTAAAATATATATTCCTTATTGTTACCTTGTATTGAAAGCATTTAATAAGGTTTATCCTATAAAATTAGGGGAATGAAACTCATTTGATTCACATGGATAAGAATAAAAAAAATTATAACAGTGGAACATTTGAAGAACAAACTTACCAAATATCACGTGAGATGGGGAGAGGGGGACAAACACAACATCGGTTTGAATGAGTTATCTTTTTGTCCCAGGTTTGTATCATATTCAAATAAGATCATGTTAATAAATATATACATGTACATGTATGCATATCTCTATCGCACCAACTTGTTCTCGTTGCAGAAGGCTGGTTAACAAAATATTCCTTTAATTTACAATATGATATTAAAAGTGATCCTTCGGAATCATTAATTCAGTCAAATTACATGAAAATTGAAGACTAGGTTTGATTAAGTCTGTACATGAGTACAAGTAATAACTATTTAAAAACATTAAATAAAATAAAACATTGTGACAGTCATTCTTTTCTATGATAAGGTATATTATTATTGACCATCTAATAGTCGGTTAGAATTGCTTTTAGATTAAAAAATGCATTGACATCTATTTTTGTTTTTAGCCCAGCTGGGACAGACAATTATTATTCTGAGCCAGCTAGAGCCCAGATGTAACTACTGGCCGTTATCATGTTTTTATATTACTCTTTATTTGGATTTACTCAGGGTCTTTCAAATAGACAATTTGAAAGACCCTGATTTACTTGATGCAATTATCAGAATACGAAAACCAAACATGAACGGGAACTGATGAACCTCATTTTAAAAAGGAGATACTGAAATATTTTAAGTTTTATCTGAAACGATGATAACACATTAAAATTATGCTTAGAATATTATTAAAAAAATCAATGGTCAGAAAAACAGAAATTTACTCTAAATCCGTCTTACCATCAGCACTGCAACTATGGAATAAACTTCCAATAAATATATACGTGAATCAGAATCACTCCATTCCTTTAAAGCAAACATTAAAAATGTTTAAATCCCCATCGGTCTCTTTATTTGTCAATAAAGGTGAACGCTTCTCTACTGTATATCATACTCGTTTAAGAAACAACTGCATTGACCTTAATTCGGATTTATATGATAATCACATTAATTGTTTCCAGCCCATCTTGTACATGTGGAGCACACATTGAAATTTCAGAACACTAATTGCTTAAATGAAAATTATACAGTGAACAAAGACAAACATTGTTATTAAATGCAATACTTTTCATCCTCTTTAGTCTTAATGTACGGGAACTTTTGTTTGGAATAGAAGAGCGTTCTGAATCCGAAAATAAAATTCTTTTTAAAGAAGTACAGACTTTTACAAAATCAAGCAAGAGATTTTAAATAATTTGTAAAATCAAAGTGTGTTTTGCTGCTGAGATTAACAGGGTTTGTGTGGTGAATATCTTCGAATTTATTTGCAGTTTTTATAACTATTACAATAATTTAATTTATTATTTTATACTATTATTGATTCAACTTATTTTCTCAAAATTTGATATTTACAACATAAAATTCAAAAGTCATAAATAACTTAAAATGGATGAAACTCATACTTTATACTTAATTTATTCATTCTTATTACATGTATCATTATTTTATTATTATGCTTATCTATATTTCTTTTTCTTTTTTTTTTAATTTCTCATTCGATTTATTTTTATTTACATATAAAATATTTGTTAAAATTAGCTCCTGAAAAATTACTTAAAACTGAAATTCGTAAGAATTTGATATCACACAACTTCATTCAAATAGTATAAACTTATTTTTGACTAACCTCAGAAAGGGCCCAATATATTGCCCAACCCTTTTGTATGTACATTTGATTATGTTTGTAAAATTGTATATTGTGTATATATTATATTTATACAATAAAATATTATTAAAGTATTAAAATATATTTAACTATTTGTTGGTGTAAACTTACATTTGAAAGTACAAATTTCGTCGTTAAAGATAAACCTTATTGAAAGACCAAGAGAAAATAAGATATACATAAGAGTAATAAACTCTCATTTTGTTATTTGCACACCTTGAAGGAGCTCCAACGAGGTTCAAAATCCGATAAAAAAATCATAAAACTTAAAATCATACATAGACCAACAGGGGCACATTTAAAATGACAACATGCAAGAAAGGATAAAGAAATATATACAAAATAAATTGAGAATTGATTTCTTTTTGCAATTTTGACCGGTTTTGGCTAGGAGCGTTTATACGTTTTTTCAACTTTAGGTCATTTTGCACAATTGAAATGACCAATCTGTAAAATCAGAGAAAGCAAATGATTTAAATATTGCACATTTATGAACTTGATTGTCTTCACCTACATCCAATGGCACACAAATCTCGAAAAATCAATTTCAGTCTCGTCATGTTGAAAACCCTTAGTGGACGAGTCCCTTTATTTCACAGCTGTAAATATAACGGAATGTTGATCAGTTGTTTTAAACACATGAAATGACAAAACACACTTCGTGTGAGCTGCTTGAGGCCTTTTTTAAACATGTTATACGCAGGTGATTGTTTAAGCTATATTTCAACTGTAGTGAAATAGCCTTTGGTTATAAAATTTGTATTTCTATAATTAAAAAAACGCTTATAACACATTTAAAATTCAGAACTATAAATTTTAAATACCCTTTGGCTATCGGAGAGTTAAATTTTATTTGAAATTAGTATAAAAGTCTCGAGCAATGATGATATGTTATTATTATTAGAACCGCGCCATAACAAAACCAACATGCGACAAGCATGGATCCAGACCAGCTTGCGCAGTCTGATCAGGATCCATGCTGTTCGCTATCAGTTTCTCTACTTGTAATAGGTTTTTTTTAGCGAACAGCATGGATCCTGATCAGACTGCGCGGACGCTGGCTGGATCCATCCTGGTGGCGTGGCTCAATTATTCTTTTGTTTTAAGGCCGTTTTCGGGAGTTTTCATATAGACATATAGGCAAAATTAAAACTGTTCAATAGAATTTCTTTAAACTTGGCATGTTATTAGAATATGATCATAGAAACATTTTAAACGAAAACAAATTTGGGGTCACCGTTCTCGTTTTTGAGTTATCTGCCCCTGAATCAGAATTTTCTACTTATTTGAGGTCATTTAAAGGGCAGATAACTTATACATACGTAAATGAATTCTTGTTTTTACTTCTGGATAATGTTTTTCTTTTTATTGTTGAATACAATACATAATACATGCAATTCCTTATATCGTTTCTGTTATTTTTTTCAATGAAAATAAAGGTACTTTAAATTTTAAATTCATGAAAAATAGGCCAATTTTTAAGTTAAGAGAAGAAATGGAAAAAAACTATAACTCTAAAATGTGTTCATGAAATTTTGCATATTGACTAAGAAGAAGGTAAGCTTCATGAAAATAATAAGAAAAAAAGGAAAAGCAATTAAAGAATGTTTAAATCAAATCAAACGTTGTGATAGGGAGGGATCAAGACAAGTGAAAGAATTGTATGTACTATATATAATATTATATATACTCAAATGATCATGTAAATAAATACAAACTTACACAAACGTACCAAACGAGTCGTTGCTGTTGAAAAAGACTTATTAATACTTGTATACAATAGGACTACAGAGAACATAAATATAAATCACTAAATGTAAAAAAGCTTTTATAAAAGGTTATAGAAAAATGAATCCCTAAAAAAAGTCCAAAACGGCAAAATTCGGTTTGATTGAGTCTTTCCATGGGCGGTAAAAGACAGTGCATTGTACCATCCACTTCCTATGCAGAATTTTACATCAAACATAAAATTGTAAAAAAATGAATTTAGAATATTTAGAAACACGTCTTGCAGCTGACTGACGATTTCAGTTGCGAAGAGAAAACGACACATATTTGTGACCTCATAAAAAGAAAAAAACACTGTTATGAAATATTAATTTGGGAGTTTTTAGCGTTTTTGAGTTATACTGACGGTTGTGACCTTTTTATTTCAATGAGTCGGAGGGAAGGAAATAAAATAAAACTATCACACACACACACACACACACGCACGCGCGCGCGCGCGCGCGCGAGTAAACACAAACTATGTTTAAAATGCCTTATGATTTATTGGAATTGGAATGTAAGGTGAAATTTATTCACATAATGCATCGCAGAACTTGCAGAGTTATTGCAGTATCACAGATCTATATATTTTGCTTTGAGAGGACATTCAACATTCATAAGATATTTCAAATAAGTTGTTTTCTACAATAAAACACGAATACTCATTTCAAAATATTTGATGATTTCAGCTTAAACACAATATTGATAATCTGAAGAATACAATACGGGAAGAAAAAAACAACAACACATTTTGAACAAAACCTAAGGACATATTTCAAAATGTTATGGGCAGGTGCATGTACAAAGCTATACTTCTTCTGTAGTGATACAATATTGCTCTTGGTAATGCTTTGTTGTTCTTTTTCACATTTTTTTCTGATAAATCTTCATGGAAAAATACACCTCATTGTCACCAAGCAATAACGGACAATCCTGTAATAATCAAGGAAAAAGGAAAATCACATAAAACACATATCTAATGAGATAGGGAATATAAGAAAAAAAAACTTACTCTTCAAATATGAAGTGAGATGGGGATGAAACAACAAACTAACAAACAAACGAACGAACA